CAGATGGATGGATGGATGAACAGATGGATGGACAGATGAACAGATGGATAAAGGATGGATGGATGAACAGATGGATGGACAGATGAACAGATGGATAAAGGATGGATGGATGAACAGATGGATGGACAGATGAACAGATGGATGATGGATGGATGGCTGAACGGATGGATGGATGGATGAACAGATGGATGATGGATGGATGGATGAACAGATGGATGGACGGATGAACAGATGGATGATGGACGGATGAACAGATGGATGGATGATGGACGGATGAACAGATGGATGGATGGATGAACAGATGGATGGACGGATGAACAGATGGATGATGGATGGATGGACGGATGAACAGATGGATGATGGATGGATGGATGAACAGATGGATGGATGTAGTTCTTGTGTGTTCTATAACTACACACCGTTTTCTCGTTGGACTCAAACCTACCGAGCTGACTCAGGTCCAGGGGGGTCCAGTGAAGACCGATGGGACAGGAAGAGGACAGCGATCGAATGCTGACTCTGCCATGGCTGTCCAAAGCCCACAGAGCGTCGAGACAGGCGGACAGGTGAGACAACTCCATCTGAGGTAAACATGGAGACGACGAGACCACAGAGAGATGGACAGTTAGAGAAGGACAGACAGAGAGAGASAGACACTCAGAGACAGACAGGAGACCGGTGGACCTTGCAGGTGTTTTTACCTCAGGTGGGAGGGACACTGAGGATGGGCGGAGCTCTCCATCCAGATCTCGGACACAGAACAGATCCTTCCTGCTCTGAGCCAACCACAGGAACGTACCTGAGACACAAGAGACGTCAGAAAACCTGCAGCCGAGGACAAGGTTCCCTGTTCCTCCAGGTGTTACCTTCTCCGTGACAAACAGGTGAAGACGTGATGAAGGTCCACCTGGTGGCCGAGACCGTTCCTCTGGGGACCACATTCTGCCAGAAAGTTCCTGTTTCAACAAAATACAAATGTATTTTAGGAGCCGTGATCAAGAACCAGCTGAACGGGTTTTGTGGTACTGGACTGACCCACGAGGCTGCCTCGGGCCAGGTGGACCTGGTTCTGTCCCGAGGCCACCCAAACTCCACTGCTGTTGGCGCTGACGAGGCTGGGCTGGCACTGCGAGTACTGCGACAGGAAGGCCACCACGCGGTCCATGGGAGCTCTGGTCACGGTGGCGATGCTCTGTGTGGCCTGCAGCAACGTCTGGAAGAAGCTGCCCTGATCGAACACCACATAGTCCGAAATACTGATCTGATGGGACAAACACCGATGAAACCACACCAAGGTCCACCTGTCGCAGGTAAACAGGTCTGCCGCTGGACTCTACCTGCCACCAGTGGTTGTCATCGCCCTGCGGTTTGGACGAACAGATGCCGGTTCGAAACCAGAGGCTGCCGGTRGCGTCCAGAGCCCAGGCAGTTCCACCGTGTCCCAGAGAAATACAAATCATCTCCAGTCCCTGAGCTTCACTGAACCACAAACACAAAAAGACAGCTCAAAGCTTTCACACCGACAACAACATGGGTTTAAACAATAACTACGGGAAATGTAACATTAGCTACATGCTAACAAAACATTACAAAATATCTGTTTTGGTTTTAAAAAGATCTGATGATTTGGCTATCAGCATGAACACAAAGCTGAAGTTCAGCTGAAATCTGCTGAAACTGACTTATTAGCTTCGCTAAAATTAGCGAAGCTAATAAAACTAACAGAACAATATTTACAAGCTGAAATTATTTTAACTCTTAGCTACAGTTTACATTTTAGCTACTGTTTTGCTTATTTTAGTTTTTACATAATTTTGCCCTGTTTGGCTTTTAGCAATAATTGAGTTAAATTAATCTTTATCTAAAGTGTTTCTAATTTAAATTTTGTCTTCTATTTAGCTAATTTTAGCATTTAACTACATTTTAGCAAATTTTAGGTTTTAGCTACGGATTCTCTTATTGTAACACTTCAATTCAATTCAATTCAAAAATACTTTATTGATCCCAGAGGGAAATTCGGTGAGACTTACCTATTGTTTTGCTTTAGTTAGCTTTTAGCAATAGTTTAGTGTAAGCATTTCCAATTTTACATTTCAGCTACCGTTTTGACCATTTTAACATTAAGCTACAACTTAATTAATTTTAGCTACAGATTTTCTAATTGTACATTTTAGCTAGCTTTTATTTAGTTGTTTTTTTTGGCAAATGTTTTATTAATTTGAGTTCTTTGCTAGAGTTTTGCTAAATTTTACCTTTTATGGTTAGAGGTTTTCAAACTATGGGATGTGTTACATGTGTGATTCTGAAGTTCTTGTGCAATCAGAAATGATTAAATTATTATCTGACCTGCTTGTTAGGTTCAGCGTTTAGAATAGAATAGAATTTATCTTTATTGTCATTGTAACAAGTACAACAAAATTAGGTGTTCCCCTCTGGTGTTGGAATAAAAATATAGAGAAAAGGAAAAAAAATCAATATTTACAATATCAAGATATAAAGAAGAAACATAAAATCGTAAAAATATAAAGAGAGATAAAATGTAAATGAAACGAAGGCATCACTGTACGGCTCTTTCACATTTGACAGAGTTGTTGCACATAGATATTGTACATGTTGCACATTGGTTATTACCAGTGGTGGGCACCAGTTCGCTAAAGCGCAAATCCGCTAATTGCGGACCTAAATATTTTGTTTGCGCTTTAGCGGACTTACTAATTTTTATAATTCATAAGCGGATTTGTCCTTTCTAAATTTAAAATGCAGTACTGCTAATAACTAATTATCTACCAGTCATCATTATCTTGAACAGCAGAAGGTATGACTGTCAATGAATCACAACACATGTGATCTATCCAACAGCACCCCTCCCAGATAAACACACTTATTGGGAAGGTATRCATCCTGCTGATTGTTGCTTTTGGCCACGGTTCTGATTTCCTACAATGATTTGTGTCTGCGTACGTAGCAGGAGGGCAACAGCAAAAACAGTAAACATTTGTAATCCATACTAAAATTTTGTACTGATTTATTTTACTTTTCAATCGGAGCTCCTTTAAAAAAAAAGTTTAAACGCTGGAGCTCAAAAGCAATCGGCCAACGGTGTTAGAGACTCAGAAATTATTTAAAGATGTTATGCTGGTGAAGACTGACATCTAACTACAAGGAGAACATCCTAATCCAGGAAGAAAAAAAATTAAAAGAAAAAATAAGTAGGTTCTCTGGATGGTTCTTCTTTAGTGAAACGTTTTGTCTCTCCTCCAAGAGACTTCTTCAGTCT